TTATTAGTAATTTTTACCAATAATAACTTTTGTCACAAAATTTATTAATGCATTGAAAATTCATTTTTGTTTTATATACTCATACCTGATTCATTTAACTTGATAAGCTTTCTTTACGGCATAACAATCTCTGAATAATAAACTTAAATATTTGAGGGGTCATTCATTTAATGGATACCCACTTTTTTTCATTCCTAATAATAATACTTTAATAATAATAATTATTATTATTATGGATTTGACTGGCTTAAAATATGATTTGTAGTTTTTAAGTAATCACAATTTTAAATGTTTTCCCCTCAACACATGTTATATAAAATATTCATTGTACACAATAATGTTGAATATTTCATAATTATTTTAAAAGTTACATATCAATCATGAATTAATTTATAAATACTTATGTAGAATAGGAACTTTAAAATCACTTTTGCAAAATTTTATATAAATATATATATAAAACATTTGTCATAAATAAACTGAATCATTCAATATGAATACTTGGTTATTCATTACATTTATCATAGTTTAATATGTGATTAAATGAATTTCAATATATACATATTTTTTGGAAAAGCTAATACAAAACTCCAATTCTCATATAGTGTGTGTGTAATATAAAATAACTTGTTGTAAACTATAAATAATAGGGTTATGAAACATAAATTATAATAGTTGTATTAACTACAAGCTATTGGGTCATATTTTATTTGCAACATGTTACATTAAACCAGTTTTACATGGTTTTGTTTCATTATAATTGTAACATTATATTGTCAATATTACAATACAGAAAATTATTGTATCAGTATATTGCAAATAAATAAATAATTTTGCAACTTTAATTTTATTTTAGTTACAATTTTTAAACCAATACAAAACTTTTTAAAAACAATAATTCTTAGTCCTGAATTTTAATTCAATTTTCAATCAGTTTAGCAATATCAAATGGTAAATATATATATATATATATATATATATTGATACAAATGGTAAATATATGATTTTTAGTAATCAAATAAAAAAAACTATCTTTAGATATAATTTCGGTAAAAATATACTATTAAAGTAATTTTATAATTCACCACGATCATTTCAACCATTTTATAAATTCAAACACATCTCAGTTCCCATTTTTAACCTTGGTGCACGTTAAGCCTTCGCAACAATTTTCCCAATCATGATAATTAGCGCAAAATTCACGTTTTTGGGTGCAATGAGCCTGGTATACTATTGTATGATCACAATAAAAAGAGACTGATTAATAACTTACAAACAAATATCTAATTACCATTAATGTATACATCCATAATTATCGCAACAATGGTGAATAATATGTCAATAAATCTCATAAAAAACAATTTAAGTAATAATATTTTATAATTGTATTTTTAGTTGTAAAATAATATATTGATTTGACAATATTCAATAATGCAGCTAGTTTATATAATAAACATAACTATAGTCGAGCCTTTGCAGACCAAATGTAATCTTAAGCCTTTATTTTATATACACTATGTTTTCGTTAAAACTGAAAAGTTCTTACCATTTATTTATCCTGGATTATCCCAAAACTATTTGCATGGCTCACTACTATCGGTCAAAGGTTAAACCATTGGGATAATCCAGGATAAATAAATGATAAGAACTTTTCAGTTTTGACGAAAACATAGTGTATATAAAATAAAGGCTTAAGATTACATTTGGTCTGCAAAGGCTCGACTATAAACATAACTATAATCTACCCAGGATATTACATATAAAAGCAACTAAATACTATATTTGTTTATTACATCCTTGCAAATTCTGTATTTTTAAATAATATTCTCTAAATATTTATTTATATATCTATTTTAATAAAGTTCAAATATGGCTATCATGCTTATACAGATAACCATTTATATGTTAGACAGACATCGAGATTCTAATCTAAACAATTAAATATTATAATAGTTTTTATAATATTTAACCATAATAAACCACAATTTACCAGGGTGTTACCTTTTATAAATATATTGTTATTTGTTTTTAAAAAAATTTAATTTAGGGTTTATATAATATAATAAATCATGTCAATCATGTTATTCATGTTAATTCTCAATTTATTTGTCAATCATGTTATTAATATCGATTTTAATCGCAATACTGTATTTTGAGACACTATTATTTATATACGACACACACTATAAGTATACCGTACATGATATCACCAAATAAGACATCATTTTAATGACAATAGCAATATCGTAATAATTAATTAATGATATACAGTACGTTATATTACAGTATAAAAGTATTTTCAAATAAAAAAGTTTTAAACATTAAAATTTATATTTTCATATTGAGTACAATTAATATTCCTGGTACAGTTTGCTATTTGTTATTGGTTTGACTTAGTTTCCATAGTAATCTAGTTTAAAGAAAATGCAATTTGAATCATAGCAAACATTTAAAAGTTAATATATTGTCATATTGAGGTAAAGGTTGTATATCCCATATAATTTTAATCTTAATATATTTAAAATATACAATGGATTTACTAAATATATTTGCAATGAAAACCTATTTATTTATCAAAAATATTATAATCAGTTTAAATATATTTGTTACGAAAACTTATTTATTAACAAAATATATAATAATCAGTTTATGTATAGTTGCAAAGAACATGTATTATTTGATAAATGCCAATTTAAAATCAAAATATTTATTACTTTTAAAAGTACTTTGTTTCATAATATTATGTTACGAGGGCTTTGAGATAACCACAGATTTCCTGCACTATCCCTATGTCTATAAGTTTGATGTCAAACCATCTGAGGGCTTGGATTTACCGCCGATAACTATCTGTACGGAAAGGGATGTGTTTTTCGATAAGACACCGTTTGTCCGACACTTTAATATAAGCCAGAAATACGAGTCATACAAACTGTCGGCTAAACAACAGTCAAACGATTTGTATAATGAATGCTACATTAAAAAGAAAAGACATGTTAAATTATGCAATCCATTTAAATACAAATATAATTATCAGGTTAATGAATATCTTAAACCATATAAACAACAATTGTTATCAAAGCTAACATTTCGTGAAATGTATGACAACTTTACCATAAAGTCTTCACAACTCATCAAATGTTCGGCAAAATTGCATTTCAGACACAAAACCAATAATAATGACAATAATAGCAGTGATTCTCAAGTAATGACTGATTGTTCGCAAAGTTATGCCGTTTTGGAAACTATTTATGGGAATAAAGACTTTGGAATATGTTTCACGTATTTCTATACAAATACTAATAACCAGTATCTCATTGACGACGACTTCGTTCAGTTTGACATCAATTATGAAACGCAACAAAAGTTTCTAATTAACGGTTATTTTGAAACAAATCCAAAAAAATTGGGTAAATTACTTGAATACCAAATGGATTTTGCCGAAATCCAAGAAAAATTGTATTCCTCCGACTATTTCCGGTTCTATATATTGACTTCACCCCCTCACCCCTCACATATGGTATCTCCTGATGAATGGATTCATACGAAGAGAATTGGATTGAATGCGAGACTGAAGATAACGACAACTCATTTCCATTTGCTGTCCAATCCTTATATGAAGAGATGTCTGGAAACCGGTATTTATTTACAATATTAATAAATAATACTTTCATTATTATAAAAATAACTTATAAATTATAAAT